CACACACACACACACACACACACACACACACACACACACACACACACACACACACACACACACACACACAGAGAGAGAGAGAGGGACATGCACTCATTAGGAGACGTCCTTGCGTCCCATTCCATTTAGTATGACGCCTAAAGACATATTTAGATGACTCATATCTGAGTGTGTGTAATTTGGTGCAGCTTGGAGCTTTTCCTCCGAGGTTCAGTACCTTCGAGGTCTTTGACTCCGACTTGTTGCCATTTGCAGTTTGTTCGGTCTGAACATTCAGAGATCCTGTAGAAATATCGACAAAACGCCAAAAGAAATTATGAGAAACGTTAGCTAGAGAGAGCTCTTGAGGGATTTCAGGTTTTTGTCTGACAGTAGACCAGGTTCTTACCCTTCGATGGAGGCGGAGTGACAGAAATATTGGGGGTAGAAACGTGAGAGGGAGGCCCAACTGAGAGCTCTGAAGTCTGGGGCTTTCCAGCTCCATTCGCCAACAGTTTCACTGTCGCTGGAGGAGCAGCAGGTCTGTGGGTGGAGGAGCAGAAAGACAGTCAAAATATGAAAGTCTCAACTGGCAAACCTGTTTATCAAATCAGGACCCCAGAGTCCTTTGTTGTGATTCATGGGAGCGAGAGGAAAGGTCGTGTGGGGAGAGGAACTCTGAGCACTGAGCATATGTTGCACTGCGGAGGACTCTGCTCAGCGTTGACACCATTTGGGGCTCACATGCATGTGGTGGAAGAGGAGGCCTGACCACTAACGGGGGCCGAGCCATTTGGAGGAGCAGCAGGTACAGGCTTCCTGTGGGAGGGAGGGATGGAGGACTGGAATCAAAGGATGGATGGATGGACAGGACGTCAGGGGGAGAAGCTTTACAATAACATTGGCCGCCCTGATAACGATGTTCTGTAGCTGCCGAGGATGTTTATTAAGCTCATTCTGAACATGTGACGCAGAGAGAAACGTCAAAGTGATGTCAGCGGAGAGGAGAGAAGCAGTTAACCTGAAGTTGTTGGTATTGCATTTGCAAAGTTATTGAAAATGTCGCTTTGAAATACCCAGGCTGTGTCCACGTCGTTTTTTCTGACCTGTGGTTACTACACTTTACGTGCACAGCAGCAGGGAGGGGTTTAGTCACTCAGCGGAAAGGGAAGGAGGGGCTAAGAAGTTACACTCACATATTTCCTCAAAGGTTTCTACGCGTCATCCCAAACTTAACCTGCTCCAGCTTTTCTCTGTAGGACTGAAAAGTTTAACCACAATTCTTGCTTCAGGCTCCAGCCCATGTACAGATGCTCTCCTTGTCAAACCAGAAACACAGAACATGGTGACAAGGTCAATGAAACAAACTCACTTTTTTCCTTTGGCGACAGGTTTGAGCTTCAACCTCCAGTCTGCAGGAGACTCGTTCTCCGACGCTGTTCACAACAGAGAAAAAAATCTTCATTGATAGAGAGGAATGGCGTTTGCCAGTAACTGCAAAGTCAAACATCCCAGGGAGAAAATACGATATTAAAGGTTCTCATTAACAACAACCTGCTGAGCGTTTGGACTCAAACAGCAACTCTCAGGGAGCGACATGAAAATAATCACCCGAGAGGAACCGGCAGCTCCTCGACACATTAGTAAGAGCACAGGGTGAAGTGATGAAATTACTTTAGAATGACAAGGAGGTGTCATTGATGAAGCCTCTAAATTATGAATGAATTAAGCAAATTGGACGGGGAGCCACAAGTCGACGGTTTATTTATTTTTATAGCATCTGCAGCACCAAAAAAAAAAAGTTCCCTCATAAAGCTAATAACATAAAATTATAGCTGCAGGCAGTTTATCAGGTTAAAGATCAACCTGTGGAGAGTTGTGGAAATGTTTGAATTTACCTGAGTGAGTGTTGGGTGATGCGCTGCGAGGCTTTAGGTCTACTCTCTCTGGAGTTTTGGCTTTGAGTCCGCTCCTGGTGGCCGGGGCCGGGGCTGGGGCCGGGGTCAGGGCCGGGGTCGGGGTCGGGGCCGGGGCCGGGGCCGGGGTCAGGGCCGGGGTCGGGGCCTGGGGGTCCACAGGCGTCAGGTCAGCGAGGAGGGACGGGTTGGCTCTCAGCTTCACCCTTCCTCTGACTCCCCCCGTCTCCCTCTTAGGAGTCTCGACTTCAGCAGGTCTGATTGGAGGTGATAAAGTATTATTATTATATTATTGTTCACCACTAGAGGTCAGGCCAAAGATATGTTGGGCCTGGGATGACATACTTGAATTTGACAGCCGCACTTGAAAGGCACAACTATAGACTGTATATGAGATTGGAAGATATGCCTGCTACAAAAAGTGAAGCCCCCTGGTGGCTGGCTGCAGTATAGCTCATAAACCCCTCCATGTTAGCTGTTTGACCGTGTCTGTCATTTTCGGTAGTTCTTATCACAATGATGTAAGTTTGAGTGGGTTTTTTTCAGGTAAGTTTGTATTTAATCATTTATTTAATCCTATGAAAATGTGTTGAATCGTCTGTGTTGGAGGTTTGATTAGTTACTTGTCAGGTTTCTTCACAGCTGCGCTCGTCCATGTTGGTTTGCTGCTGCTGCCGCTGTTGTTGTTGTTTTCCTCAGCCAGTTTCTTGGAGATGAAAACTGCTGCCGCTGCTTTCGTCTTGTTGCTTTCACCATCTTCTTGTTTCAAATTCACCTTTCCTCCTCCACCTGCCGCTTTAGCTGTGTCTCCACCTTTATCCAGGCCTGAAGTCGTTTCCTTTTTGACAGCACCACCACCAATATTTAGAACCACAGTCACAGCCTGACCTGCCGCGGCCTCCTGGACTTTACCGCTCACGATCGGTGGTTTATTTACGTCCACGTTAATGGTTGTGGTCTTTTTCTCTTCGTTGCCAGTGTTGCTGTCGGACTGGAAGAACTTGGACTTTGACTGCACCGTCTTGGTCGCTGTGGTTGAGGTGCGGGGGGCAGCAACGGGCCTGGTGATGATGGAGGGTGTTGTAGTGAAGGTAGATTCGCTCGTAGTCCGTGAAGCTGCGGGTTTGGAGACTGGCGCCGCGTGAGCTACTTTAGCAGCGGAAGAGACGGCTGAACGAGGCCGGGAAGGAGACGGAGGGGAAAACGTGGTGGAGGAGCTGGTAGGAGGGCTGGGTTTGTCCGTCAGCCATTTTGGCCCCAGTCTGGAGGTGGTCTGGGGAGGAGTGGTTGTGCTGGTTTTAGTCGTGTCAGGTAGAGGAGTGAATTTGGACATAGGGGTGTTTGTGGGTAAATCTCTGAGAGGTGTCAATGTGTTTGTAGAAGACAGAGATCTGAAAGACAGGAAGCACAGAATGATCACAGTCATGACATTTTTACAATTCCTGCAACAAACTTCACAGTGAGTCTGCACAACGCTAAAGTGCGAGCTGGTGTCATTTTAGTTAACATAATTTTCATTCTTTAAATTCTGGACAATATGTAAGATGGAGATTACGTTTTTCAAATACGGTGGAGAGTTTAGTTCTGTTTTTGTCTTTTTGAAAGCAGGAAAATCAAAGATGGAAGCACTTCAGGAGCATAAGATAAAAACTCCTGTCAATGTTAAAACAGGAAACAAAGGAATTGTGAAATATAGACTATATACGACACAAAATAAAGAGAAACTAAACACAGTAAAGGTCTTTTAAAAATTAATTTTGTAATTCTGTTCTTAATAATTCATTGATTAATTGCTTTATAGAATAGGGGATCAGAATTAGAGTTAAATTTAATTATTTAAATACATTTTTCAATTAATTATTTAAGATTAAATTATAATCCTCTATGAAATGTACCAATTCATTAACTGGTTTTAATTATAAAATGTAATTTAAACCTATAATTGTTCTGGAGACCCTCTTCATACAACACAGATTATAGATTAGCAAGATTACTTGTGATAATTATGCAAACTTGTTTTCATTGTGTTCATGTTCATCAGTCTCTTACTTTGCACAGTTCCTGTGGTAGAGCTTCCCTTCCACTAGATGTCGCTGCACCAAGTGAACGTGCTTGTTACAGGACATACACTTGTTACTCAGGGTTCCTGTTTGATGGGATCTCTCCACCGGGACCTCCTGGGAGAGAGGGGGAGAGAGGGGGAGAGAGGGGGAGGGAGGGAAAGAGGGGGAGGGAGGTAACATCAAGTGGCAGTGACAACTTCCTCAGTGAGGAACAGAATTTACTGTAACTGATCTGAGGCAAGTTGGGTTTTTTTTTGTGTTGTGTTGTAACAAGCCTCTTCAGGTATTTAGGTCATGATGTGTTCAGCTGGATGAACGTCCACACTCATCATCAGCTCATTGCAAAATAAAAACTTTTTCTTTTTTACTTTTGAGGAAAACTGGAATTTTGTGAACTCTAGAAAAAGGTCTGGAGATTCTCTGGAGATTTCCCTTCGCACATGAAAAACACAGATTGTTTCATTGGATGTAACAGTGCCAATTATACAGCTGTATTATGTTTCCCATTTACATTTAAATATATTTCATTTTATTATAATGACACAGAATCTTTATACATAGTTATCATCTGTGGTTTGTTGTGTCTCCCGCTTTACCTCTCACCCTTACATGGGCTCACTCAGAGTCTGTACTTGGGGGGTGTAAATGTCTGACTCAGACATTTACACATACAGCCCCTCTGGATGGTTTTAGGAGATTTACCCAGAGTTCAGTGCATGTCTGAAAGCAGCTTCGGAGATAGCAACATTTACCTTTGTGACATTTCTGCTTGGTTTTGGGGAGGGAGGAGGCCTGGTGATGTTGGCGGAGGGGGGAGGGCTGTTCTCTCTGGCAGGCTTGGACGAGGGGAACACCTTCGCCACCACCGGCTGGTTCTTCTTTCCAGACGGTTCATCGCTGGCAACCTCGGCCGGACGCTTTATGCCTCCCATACCACCGACTGTGTGCAAACACGCAGACACAGACAGATCAGACGAGGGCGGGAGAGCGGGGGAGAAAGGGGGACACGGTGAGACACAGTGAGACATAGATACTCACTCGGGGAGCGTCCATGGAAGTAGTTGTAGTACTGCGAGACGTACGTCAGGATACTGAGGCGGTCGGGAACCTTCATAGCCACCATGTCTTCTGCGTCCAACAGAGCTGGGATCCCCAACTCCTCCTCCGCCACCTTGAACGCCTGCAGAGAACACCGACAGAAACAGAAGAGGCTCAGGGGGGGTCCTTTAGAAAAACTGTCCAAAGATGGAAGTGTATCAATAAATCAAACCAGAGCATCTCACTCAGCAGGAGCTCGGAGACGTCCTCACATCTTCACGTTAATCAAACAAAGACGTCTGTTATCGATATTCAAAGGCCTGTGTGAGATTTCTACTGTCCCACACAAAGTTTTACAGACAAGTCCAAACCTGAGAGAAGCGTTGAATTCCCACAGAAAGTTATTATAAGTCAAAAATTAGTTCAAGACCGACACATTTCACCTTTATGAAACTTCCCACCGATGCTATGATTGAATGTTGACGTCACACTTGTGCACCAGGTGTACAGAGAATTTGGATGTGGGCATATTGTTATAAGGTCCCATGCCGTCTGTGCAGTGCTTCTCCATATCTCCATAACTAAATACCCTCAGTTCTGGCCACAGATTAAATCAGTAGCTCATGTGTGAGGAGAGCAGCAAAGTGAGTCAGGAATTTCCAAACTAAACTCTCATTGAGCCATTCCATGGAAGCAGAAAGAAAAACATGGAGCAGGAGCAGGATGAACTTAATCAGTGACGAGAGGATCATAAAAACAGTGTTTACTCTGCTTCGCCCTTTGATTCTTTAATCTCTCACAGTTTTCTTGTCTTTTGATTCGACTGCCTGTCATTTCACTTACAAGAAAACGGTGTCGGGCGATTACTGCATTTTTTGGCTGTTAGTCTATTGCAGTTCCAGCTAAAGTGTTAGGCAATGACTCTTTTACTTTGCGATTTCGAAATATTCCCTGTGGCCCCACATTAAGTGTTGCTGATGATACAGGCACAATGGGCACGTAGCAATTATTTATGGCTGCAAGGTTTTACTTTCATTACTGATAGATCAGAGCTTGATTTATAAGAACTTTATTTAATACGATGTCAGAAAACTTCTCTCACGAGAGGAAGGCTTCACAATACTTGTAAATGGCTGTTGATATTTAAAAAGTTTCTAATTTACGGTACAATTCAGAAAAGGGATCAAGATTTTCTTGTTTGATTTCATGAGTCTCTCACGTTTTTGAATCTGTCCATGAAACAAACTTTTCTCTGCTTTACTCTCACTCGCTCTATTTCACTGTCAGTTTCTTGAGAAAGTGATAAACCATCGTTTACCAAAATCCAACATCTGAGATCGAGAGATATTGAATTTACAACAGAGAAAGTGATTCCGCTGCCGACAGAAATGGGATAAGACGAATTAAGATGAATGCACCAAATTTCCCGGTGATCGTTCAGACACGTAGGGGAAGCTGAGAGGGTCGTCCACTAACCCAAAGGTCGGTGGTTCAATCCCCGGCTCCTCCAGTCCACATACGAGTGTCTTTGGCATTGCTCCTGTGTGTTTAATAGAAAACGTGCTTCACATAGAAGCGCTGTATGAATGTGTGTGTGACTAGATGAAACTGTTCATTTGCAAACGTCAACTGTCAACCTGCTGGTGGCGCTGGAGGAAACAAAATCCTGTTACCAAACATACAATGCTAAAATACAGAGCGTGAACAAGTCTCACCAGTTTGTTGTTGTCGTAGACATTTTCCTTCTTCAGCGAATCAAAATCACTGCAACAGAGAACCAAAAAAACATGAGTGAGAAAACACATGTGATCTAACTTCCCCTCCTGATTCATGTGTTTACAATCAGCAGAACATGTGTAACTCTCACAACCTTTACTTCTACATATTTCATGACTGTGACACCACTCAGCTGCATGAATCACTGATCACAGGCTCTCAGAGGGAAACCAACACAGAGCTCAGACCACGTTCATCACAGCCGTGGAGGAGGATATATGCAGTAACTCGGCCTGTAATCAGTTTGTTGCTTCTGTACATGTTCATATACATGAAATCTGCCCTGGTGCTCGTCTGGCTGTGGGTAACAACTGGAGGGGACACATCTGGAGCAGCTGTGTTTCCAGAACATGCCATAAAAAACTCCCTGGAACAAAACTCTGTGTGATTCTGTGTGAAACAGGATAAAGTTCAACTGGAGACGATGATGGTGATGAGATAATCTAATGTGGACGAATGTGAAACTGAGGCAAAAGATTTAACAGCTGTCAAGTATAAATAGAAACTATAACTCGCTAATGAAAACCCCCAGGTAGTTTCCCCAAAAAACATTCAAGAGGAAAAGCAAAGGAAAAGACAGTTTCCTCTTCTTGCAGATTCCCAATGTAGCGAGATTCCAGAACATCTCATTTTGGCTCCAGATGGACAAGGACACACGTTTGTGTGATTTTGATTCACAACTAAAAGAACATATACACAAAACTTTTATAGATATACATGTTTTGGGGTAAGCATGGTTCTTCATGAGCAAATTTAAAAGAAATAGTAAATATTTTCGGCACCTGAGCAGAGAACAACTTCTATCAACACAGATTTCAGTGATTATGCAGATGTCACGTGGATTAGCTGCAACCAGTTCAAATTAAAGGTTCAGGGCGTAGAATTCAGTGACATCTACTGGTGAAGTGTTGCAGCTGAACACCCCTCACCTCACCCCCCACTTCCAAACGTGACAGAGAACCTGCGGTAGCGTCAGAGTTTTTAGTTTGTCCAGTCTGGGCTAAAGTAAAAAAACATGGCGGCCTCCGTAGAGAGGAGCCGCTCCTGATGTAAATATAAAGTATTTAAATATAAAGGGCTCAATCTAGCGTAAAGAACACAACAATTCATACAATTTAGAAACACTAGTGAAACCACCACTGGGATTATTTTACATTCAATTTCTACCAACACTGAACTTTAACATCCATGCAGACCCCCCCCCCCCCCCCCCCCCCCCCCCCCCCCCCCCCCCCCCCCCCCCCCCCCCCTGTGGCCCCCTCTGCAGACTGGCCCCTCTGCTCCACAGCTCAGCCCCTGTTTTTCCCCGCAGACCCGTGAACTTTGTTCTCCAACAACAAAGTTCATCTGAAGGGAAGTAAAACCGGCACAGACTCGATCATCCTCCTCCGGTAAAACCTCCGCCAGTGGCTCGGTACTCACATCAGCTCGGGTCTGTGTGTGTGGATGAGGGCGCAGAAAGCCAGGCCGTCCCTGAACGACGTGGTCATGTTGGTGATGGCCACGTCCCGGTAGCCCTCACACCGGAGCCGGCACCACTGCTGCAGCGCCTTCACGGCCGACATCCTCCGGAGCTCCGAGTCGCACACGAGCCGCTGCCGGAGCCGAGTGAGAGCCCTGCAGCCCCGCGGAGCTGTGAGCGAGCGGCCGCCTCTGTCCCCACCTCCTCCGGATACTGCCTCCACAAACTTTCCACAGCAGGAGTGAGTGTGTGTGTCTGTCTGTGTGTGAGTGAGTGTGTGTGTCTGTGTGTGTGTCTGTGTGTGTGTCTGTGTGAGTGTGTGAGTGTGTGTGTGTGAGTGTGTGTGTGGGAATCACCCACAGAAAGTGGAAGAAAATATTATCTGACACCTGTGAAAGGTCGGTGATGACGTTGCATGGGTGGAGTTCAACCTTTCTCTTTACTCAGTGTGTACGGGAGTGTGTGTGTGTGTGTGTGTGTGTGTGTGTGTGTGTGTGTGTGTGTGTGTGTGACTGTATTATCTTCTAATGTAGATTAGTTTGTTTTCTACCTCAACCCATTTAATATAGTTTGGCCACAGATATTTAATCTGTTTGTGTCATTAAAACAATTAACAAACCGTGTGTGTGTGTGTGTGTGTGTGTGTGTGTGTGTGTGTGTGTGTGTGTGTGTGTGTGTTTGTGTCCTAAACATGTAGAACTAATCACACAGCTACAGACAAGTCTTGAATGAGGTCATGAGGTCACACCCTTCAGGTGATTCTAACCAGAGCCACCAAACCAGAAGATGTTAATAATCAACCACTAAATTATTTTGACCTGCACCAGGTTGTGTTTCTGACCCTTCAGCTCCGTCACACATACAAAGTGAATATCACAGCTCAGAGTTCACCAACGTTCGTAAATCAAAGATGGTTTTTTTTCCCCCCCAGTGAGTTTGTTTAATTATTTGAAGCTTTAAAGCTGAAACTGACTCGTGATTGGTCGAGCACAGGGCTTAGCCTCATCGTTGAGTTTGGGTGTTAGAGACAAAAAGGACAAAGGCACAAAAATAAAACAGAACTAAAAATAACAATTCAATAAGAATGAAGCTCAACAGATCCTCAGGATAAGATGTACACGCCCACCATGTGTAGACTTAAGTCCATGATCTGAACTCCTCCTTAAAGAAACATAAAACACTTCCTCAACGCTGCTGAGTCACCTTCTCTCTGAACAATGACCTGAGCTTTTGGCCACATTGGCGCACGAAGTATAATTCCTCTGCAGTCGTTCATGTTGTATATTAAAAATTAAAACGAGAACAACTGCAGTTTTGTAGAATTATACTTCATGCATCCACCGATATTCACCTGCATGAGTTTTTAGTAACAGGATAAACTGTGAAAGCTTAGGTGTGGTTGTTTCTTGTCCTGTCCTGTCATGTCTGCTTGGGTGCGTTGAAGGAGGCGGGTGGTGTCTATTCACCGAGTTACCTGACACCTGAACACATCACATGGTGTGTTCAGAGGCAGCAGACGGATAACAAAGAGGGAGGAAGGCTTTGTTTAACCGACTCAAACCTGCTAATAGGCTGTAACTTCCCTGCACCTCCGTCACCTCAGACTCAGTTTCTGTCATTTGTCAGCAGGAAGATTTCTGTGAAGAATCAGTTAAGAGTTTGTAGAATGTGATTGTGATTCAAACTGAAACTGAATCCTAGAAACCAGATGAAGCTCTGAACAGACGCTCATGTCTGCACAGGATCAACCAATCACTTGATCACTTGACTTTTCTTCTATCACCAAACTGTTTATGTGTCCACACACGTAGAAGACGAAGACGTCAAGAGAGTCTGAGCTGAGAAAAGCTGACGACGGTGTTTGTATGTTGTCGAGAATATGAATGAATAAGTCACTTCCTGCCTCTGTCTGCTGCACCTCTCACCTGAGAATGTGTTGCTGTTGTGAACGCGTCTGTGCAGAAAACTGGAGAAACTCCGTAACCAATTCTCTGGACTTTCTTAAAACGGCTCACGCATCTCAGAGTCCTCCTGCTGAACAAAACTGAAGCGAAAATATCCCAGGTACGGTTGCTGCCATCTAGTGCTGGTGAGGTTATTTGTCTGTACGGTGGTAACCGGTGGTAGCCATGGTAAACACGTCATAGCGACATTCTCGACATATCACAAGTTAGTCTCAGCTGTTAATCGTGACGTTTAACCACATTTTATACGTTTTATGACAAATAACTAATTAGCCGACCACATTTAACCTTTTTGTTTGGTCCCATTCACTAACATGGAGGAGGCAGGGTTTCATCAGGGGGCGAGCGAGATGCTTGACTCCACTTTTGGGAGCTGTCGTCGATCTTCATACCTTCAGTGGAAAGAACTTAAGAACTTTTAACTTCTTAAACAGCACCAAGGATAAATTATGTGACAGTGGGTTCATAATTACAGAAATGAAACTACAGATTAAACCTTAGTGACGAGAGAAACACATCAACATTGACTTCATGCAAAGGGTTGTGGATGGAGCTGAAAGTGAAAGTTTCTGTCGGACAATGAAGCTGCTTTTAGTTTTTTTATGATCACGACTCTCCTGCGGAATGAACCTCTGTCAGAAATGACAGACGAGTGTTACCTCCAGGAATTCTCCCATTGTCAACATTCTCATTGATGATTCATGGGTCTTGATGAAAACAATAGTGTGAATTGAAATGTGGGGTCATCGGGGGCACCGTTGGGCATTTTACAATAAAACACGACATTTCATTTGTGCAAAGATATGAAACAAATTGGTTTGTTATCCGCTGCTGGGATTTTTTTTCTGCATGAAATGTGCAACATCTTAAAAAACAGACGACCTGAGAAAGACCGAAACACAATCTCTCTTTTATTTTTAGAACTTTTCTAAATCACTTTTGCAAACATTTTCAAATTTCAAGCACGGGTTTGTAAATCAAACATGCACTAACTGCCCTTTGAAGTCCTGGTGGGCTGCGTCCCTCTCTCCACATGCCGACCATACAAACACCCCCCCCCCACACACACACACACATACAAATACTTAATCCTCCCAAATCCAGACAGGAAATGCCCTCGTCAGTGGAGCAGAATGCTTTTGACAGACCCCCGCTGCTCTCTCTCTCTCTCCCCCTCTCTGCTGAATGATATATGTTTCCTCCTCAAACTGCCATCTGGAAACAGTTAGTCTGTGAACGTTTGCACAGAGCCAATAAAAACACGTCTATCTCAAGTCTATCAGGAGCAGAGGACAATTCAGGCCTGCTATCTTAGAGGGGGGGGGGGATGTGGGACAAGCTGTTTGCTTTCACTTTCAGGAGCTAATGTGTGTGTGGGTCTTCACATGTGTGTGTGTGTGTGTGTGTGTGTGTTGGACACAATCAGATTCTTGTTTGGTTCCATGACTCATGAGATCCAGTCAGATTCTTCTGGCTCGGCGTCAGAGCTTCTTTCACAGTTTACATCTTGTTTTCGGTTCTGGTTTGATTCTGCTGGCGAGAGACGGAGGGTTTTTCTTGTGAAGGGACAAAAAGCTTTGAGTTGAGATGAAATCACGTGACTTAATGACAGACATCCTGAGATCCCCCCCCCCCCATCAACTTAACCACTGGGCTTTGACAGGGTGGAGGCTTGAGGAGCCATAATGAAAACAGACAGGAAGAGGCTGCAGATGGATGGAAACTGGAAAAGTAAAAGAATAATCTGTAAAGAAAGACGAGGTGATAGGAAACACCAGTTCAAAATGAACTAAAATGTAGTAAAAAACACAAGATAAATATTAAAAACTAATTGTGCTGTTTCTTATGAAGGTTTGAGTTTATTCTACAAGTGGTATTTAAATAAAAATAGTGAATGTAGACAAAAGGAAGTAAATGAAAACCATGTGTTATTCAGATTCTTCACCCAAATTGTCTATTTAAGGGTTAAAATCTTCAACGTCTCTGACTTCTTATCTTAAAATCTGTCTTTAGGACGTATTCTTTTATAAAAGACATATTTCTATACATTGCTTTACTTGTAATCCCTATTTCATTTGATTATTCTAATAATTTCATTTATTTAGCTTCTTTAGATTACTAACTGCTTGACATTGAAACTGTTTTTAATAGATTTTATCAGTCCATCTTGTAAAGCAAGTGTTACATCGATAAAGTTATTATTTTTATTTGCTGTCTTAAGAGAAACTACACACATAAGAAATGATATAAAGAAGAGTCCCAACATTGAGTGACTGTGCCCTCTAGTGGCAAATGTGCTTCAGCACTACAGCTTAATGACAAAATTCAGGCAAGATCAAAATATAATTTATTCAGATGTAATCATCCGATCACATCAGGACTCAAAACACTTTAAACAAGTGACATTAAAATAAACAGTAAAATCAAAATATCAGATCCAGCAAAACTCTAAAAACACAAAGCTTCATGAGTCAACACTGCGAACTGTCAGTTTCACGATTGTCGAGTTACAATTACACACGTGACAGTAAAATATTCTCTTTACATGCTTAGAAATGTTTGTAGTTTACTTTACACATGCACTGATGATCCCTCTAATGAAATGTTGCACAAGGTGCAGAAAATCCATGAATTCAGATCACGTTTCCACAGCGTCACGGTCAAATTTAGGCAGAATTAATGTTACTGAGCTTGAAAACTTTCCCGAACCAGCTCATGAAAATGTTTCCAGCTCCAGGCTTTGGTTGCAGTTTCACAGAAGCGTCACAGTACGTCTACAGAACAGTTACAGCTGACGCAAGTGTAATTTCACAGTTCTGGAGACGTCTTCAGGCAAAGCACTACAATGGTCTCCTGCACTGAATAAAAGATCAGAAGGGAACAAACCCAGCAACGCTCAAAAACACACAAACAGGAATCGTAAGGCACCTGTGTCATTCTTTACAATACTGCAGAAACAATTAGTGCAAAAATTGGCTGTAAGCAGCATTAAAGCACAGAGAATCTACTACATCAGGCTCCTTCACATTTTCAGGAGGGTGATCATCGTCTCTTCTATTTATTGCACGTCATCTTTCTGCGAATTAAATTCTTTTAAGTGCTGAGTCGATCAAACTGAGCTAAAAATGAAGGTAATTTACAGAGCAAAGCAGATTTTTTTGAATCAGAGGATTCCTCAGCGAGTGTTACTGATGTCAGATATTTAAAACAGTGTCTAAACTACTGTAGCTCAGTGATTTCACATTGATGCCTTATTAGTGTGTTTGCAATGCACACAGAGAAGCTTCAGTCAGTTTGAGGACGATGTTGCACGATGAATAAAATGAACACGAACTGAATTAGTTAAAAACTAAAAATGGTGATTGCAGTGATGTTCAGGTGTCGACGTCACGGTTGCGTGTGATTACAGGTAAATTGGAGCAGACGCGGAACGCTGCTTCTCAGCCTGGTGTTGCGTCACTCTTCAAAGTTCATAATCAGCACTCAAGGTTATTTTATTGCGTCCAATGTTCTGGATTGAAGAGCCAAAACAAAGAAAAGCATCACTCATTCAAATGTCATCACATCCAGCTGATGGTGAAGTTCCGGCTGAGGTTGAGACCAAGATCTGAAACTGTCAACACCTGCAGAGAGAGAAAAATAAAAAAAAACTACATGTCAGAACAAGCACAACCGTAGTTTCACATTTTCTATGGATCCACCGTTGCCTCACCTGGTTGGCTCTGTATGTGAACGGTGCGTCGAGGGAGTTCACCGAAACTCTGCTCGGCTTCTCCTTCACACCGTAGAAGGTGGCCGACTCCACGCTGATGTCCGTGGCCTTGATGTTGCTGTGGAGCACCTGCGACGTCATCACGTTCTACAAAACAACACGACGGAGCTCACTTCACATGGAAACACGTGTTTAAATGAATTTGATCTCAGCGTTAAACATCCTGCTCACTGAGGCCAAACACACAAGATGTGATGCAAATGAACGCAGCGCGGCAACAATTTATTATTTTTCCAATATAACAAGAAGAGCAGTCGGACATGGCTTCTTTTTGCGCCTACGACATTCTGCGATCACGTGGCAATAAAGTTTGTCGCTGCCGTTAGTAAATTGACTCTTACTCAATGAGGAAGGAGTCAATCGCGATTCATCAGCAAGTTTTCAAACTGATCTTGGCGTAAAATGTAGACGTTGCAAGTCTCACGTTCTGACCTGAAATTGTATCTCCGCGTTTCATAATCTACAGTTGAATCAAACAAGTTCGGACACAGCTCACGCAGGTTATCAAAACACATGTGAGAGGTGTGGGTGGGTAACACAGTTTGGAATGAGGCAATGAGGGTAGATTCATCACTGTGTGGGCACCTGAGTGACACTGAAGATCAGGTAGGCATAACTGTCGCTCTCGAACGTGTCGATGCTCTCGCCATCGTCCCAGAACAAATCTCCAGCGGCTGAACCGTCGTCCGACAGAGCTGAGACCAGGTGGAGAGGCTGAGTGGTGCTCACCCACAGCGTCAGATTGGGAACCTGTGCAGACGAGTTAAAACAGAAAAACAAACATTACATTATAAACTACTGGTTACAAAGAGTCAGACTGACGGAATCTCAAGGAAAGATGACAGATGTTCTTGTATCCTTGGAAAGATTATTTATCTTTGATTTTAAGGTTGTAGTCAGTTCATTTTTAACTTAAACATGTTTCTTGTTCCCTTAGATCAATTTTCTCTATCTTCAAGTTTTGTAAACAAATTTTCAATAGTTCAGAAAATAGGTGTTTGATGATTTAACAGTAAAGTAAAAATCCTTTCTACCTGTGTTGGTAAAATCGATCCTTCACGTAAATGTAAGTTGATCTTGTCCAGAGGTGCCTGAAGTTGAACCTCTTCACCTTTACTGCGCAGAGAATCACCCTGAGGGGAACAGCAACACATCAGATCGCTCTATGATACATGAATGACCAGTTTAATGAGTTTGAGCGAGTGTGCTGAGAGTTCTTACAGTGTAGTAGTCATACCACAGACCCTCTGGGAAGTAACCATCCACATAATCGACTCCAGGATCCAACACTGGTGTCACCAACAAACTCTTCCCCCACAGGAACTGTTTGTCAATCCCATAGGTTCTTACATCTCTTGGAAACCTGTCGAGTACAGAAAACATTTAGAACAGCGAAAAAGTGTATAAAGAGAAATAAAAAAAAAAAACAAGGTTGTGTTTTTATTCTCTACTTACTCAAACATCAGCGGCCGTGCGACAGTGTGTCCGTGTGCGTGTGCGTGATGAAAGAGAGTGTAGAGGACTGGGAAAAGGGAGTAACGCAGCAGCAGAGCCTGTTTCATGGCGGTACGAGCCAGAGGACTGAAAACTGTTGGATCCTGAGGCTGTAAATAAATCACATCAATTTAACGTCTCTGAAGAAAGAGAGGGATAAACTGCCGGGATCTACGTATTTGAATTGTTGCTTTATTGCTGCAACAGTGATGTTAAACTGTATGAACCTGCATGTCGATGGCGTTGTGGTTGCGTGTGAAGGGGTAAAAAGCTCCGAGCTGCGTCCAGCGGACACACAGCTCCTCCTGCGGCTCCTCGCTGAAGCCGCAGATATCTGCTCCCACCAGCGGGATGCCCAGGAGGTTAAAGGTCAACATGCCTGAACACACACAGGAGGAGAGGGGTCGAAACCAATGTCCAACAATTAAATTGACGATTTCAGACGATTTTCTAAAATCAAAACCACACGAACACTCTTTGTATGACCTGACCTGATATTGAGGTGTAAAGATCTCTCCATTGGCTCCTGTTGTCTCCCAGCCAGTGACCAGAATACTTCCCCTGACTGGGGAAGGTGGAACGAGAAATCACGAAAGGTCTTTTTGCAACGATCCTCTTCAGAGCGCTGAACAAGAGGAGGGAGAGAAACCAAGGGACAGAGATCGATCATATGGTCAACGAGTGATTCCCTGTTTTGGTATTTTATCTATTGTGTGTGTGTGTGTGTGTGTTTCACTGGTCCTGACCTGGCAGATGCTTTAGCTTCCATGAGTCCATACAGACTGTGCATATTATAGTGTATAGACTGCTTTTGTTGTGCAGTGGCACATACAGTCTTTGCTCTCAGCAAACCTCCAAGTACACCTGAAAGGTAAAAGACTCAGTTTGACTTTTGGACAATCGTACATGCTTTGTATTCCTGTGTTCATTTAACGTTGTTGATTTGTGCTTGAGGTGTGTATCTGCGTCTCCCACCAGGTGTATAAGGAGGATTCTCAAGACTGTTTGATGGACAGCCATTAGTGGATCCATCCAGGAAATTTGACGGCTCGTTCATGTCCTGGAAATGATGAGGAAAAAAATGCAGAGAATCACTTCAATAATAACGATCGAGGTCAAAGATTTTATCTTTTCTTCAATTTCAATACTTACAATCCATAATCCATCGAATGGCACTTGATCGTGGAACCTCTGGAGGTTTTCATACCACCACTCATGTGTCACATCGTCAGAGAAGTCAGGATATGCTGTCAAACCAGGCCACACCTGCAGGAGAGGATGGAGAATTGTTTATTTATTGGTGATAGAGTTTGATAGATGCTTTTGTATGTCATAGTTACAAAATCTCACCGAACCATCAAATACATTTTGAAGCTGCTATCTCTCACCTTCCCAATGAGTGTCTTTCCTTCAGTGTCCTTAATAAAAACTCCTCTCTTCAGTCCTTCATCGAACGGCCAGTACGAGCCCTCAGGCTGAGTGCTGCTGATACCCGGGTCCTGCAGGTTGAGAAACAACACTCTTAAAAACACAAGCTACATCAGACAAACACCACACATGGATGAAAATATAAAAGTCCCGTTTACCAGGATCATGACATAGCGCTGGTCATGAGCGTGCAGATCCTTGACCAGGTCAGGCAGCGTTGCAAACTTTGTTGAGTCAAACGTAAAGTCCAAATATTGGTCCATGTAGTCGATGTCATTCCACTGGACGTCCTGCAAACACAACCTCAAATAATGAATCTGAAAAACAGAAAAATACTGACAAAAAAAAAAATCAGCTGCCGTCCACTTTACCTGAGGCATCCCATAACTCCTCATCTTCTTGACAACCTCCAAGGTAGAGTTACTTGTGTTGTAACCCCAGCGACAGAGGTGGTATCCTAAAGCCCAGTAGATGGGCATTGCCGGGAATCCTACGACAAGACGGGAGGGATTAAGAGAGAAGAGGGGTGAGGATGAAAGAAGGGAGAAAAATAATCAAAAGAATAATGGAGGAACTAACAGAGGTGATTGTTTTAAACACATTTAAACATACAGTGGTCTGCAGAGTGTTGGACTACCAAACTCTGCATATACATGTACTGACCTATGACTTCCACATACTGTTCAATAACTGAACCAGGATCAGGACCGAGGAAAACATAAAAGTCGAGGATTCCTCCAATAGTACGCCAGGTCAGAGCTGGGGACGGCTGGAGGGCCACATCTGACCAAATAGAAATAACATGTGGTTAAACAATAGTTATTCATGGGAAAGAAAAGACCCACAACATTAAGATACAAGAGCATGAAGGCAGAGAGAAGAAAGAGACAGAAAGAAGAAAGAGACAGAAAGAGAGAGGAAAGAAACAGAGAGAGAGAGAAAAAAGACAGAAAGAGAGAGGAAAGAGACAGAGAGAGAGGAAAGAGACAGAGAGAGAGAGGAAAGAGACAGACAGAGAGAGGAAAGAAAGAGAGAGAACATTTGGAGATTTTGCTAATATAGTGTGTTTTTGGGTACGTTCTCCTGTTCGCTCTCCATTCTCAAATCAGTTCAGTTATTCAAACACCAGCTCAATCAAAGTGGAGTCCTAATCATTTGTCTGATGATGACAAATTAACTACTAATGAAGTTAGCAGTGCCGCTCAATATTTTTTTATCAAGAAATACAACCTGACCTCTACAGTAAATCTTTTTAATTGATAATTACTGTTTAGTTTATCACAGTTGCTTCTGCTTTTATAAAGCCACAGAACGACTGTTCAACGGTTGTCACATGAACAGTTGTGAAATCTTCAAACTATGAGCATCAGCTATTTGTTGCATGTTTTACTGCACGTAGTGAAACATGAAGCAGAAGTCTGACGGAGTGGCGGACTGACCCATCGCGTTGCTGTTGAGCAGGAAGAAGCCGTGTGCATTCCCTCCGTCCTCCATTACCAGGTAAAAAGGATGGGCTCCGTACAGGTTTGTCTGTTCCTGCATTAAAGAGAAGAACACATGGATATGACTGTAAATGACTGTAAACTGAGCAAGATAGGTTTCCCACCTGGAAATATAAACAACAGAGCTGGACTTGGTAACGTGTCCTTTTCCTAGTATGACGGAATCAGTTGAGGATTAATGTCTGTACCCGTGGCTCAAATGTTATTACTACTGTTGAAGGTGAACAACGAAAATAAACAGAGTTTTGGTACCGTAGGAGGGACGTCTCTGGCCCACATGGTGAGCGTGTTCCAGTGGATGTCATGAAGGAAGGTGGAGCGATGTTCCCCCAGGCCGTAGATGAACTGACTGGGCAGGGAGGTGGAGAACTGGAGGAATTGATCGGCATAGAAGAGAGGAGCCACTGTGGTGTTCAGACTAACGGGGAAGCAGACACGAACACAGTATTAATACATAATTTGTACTTTGTGGTTTGTCTAACAGGAGCCAACTCAACCCGGACTTACAGAACTGCTCCGGTCGAGCTTCTCTTCACAATGAGACCAAATGGCTCTTTTGAAAGCTCGACAACATAGTCAGGACTTTGTGCTTTCTTGGTGGCAGTGGGGACAGAGATTGGGACTTCAAACCTTGCATCAGAAGGGTCGGTTATCTAAGAAACATTAGACAAACAGTTTGTATTTTAGTTACAGACCAAAGGATCTGCAGCAGTTTGGAGCAATCCAATATTTAATCTTTTAGCTCTGTTTCGTTCTCAGCCGAATGCTGTGAAATATAATTGTGCCTGCTCCTTTCTAGACTATTGACTTTCTTCACCAGCTACAAGTCTGTTTCCACTCTGGGAATTTATCAGCACTTGTTTACTGAAAATGGCTGCTTGGTGTGGTTAGCAACAATGCTGAAGAGAGCCACAACAGCAAAACCGTGGTCAACGAAACCAAAATAATGAACTGAGAATGTGACCTCAACTCAAACAGCTGAGGGAAAAGGCACCAAGAGCAGCTTAACCATTATATATAGTCATTTGAGTTATTGATAATATAAAGACATTGATTTACAACTGTCATTTCAAAATTTACCACAGGATTTTAACAATGATTTTGGTTTAAAATTTGAGTATGGTTGAGTACATATGATGTCTGTACTTCTACAAAAAAAAAAACTGAATATGTGGTGTTCTCCACTCACCCTGACATGCAGCCGTGTGTCCGTCTCATGGCGTATATCGACCTCTAGAGTGAGAATGTCTGCTGGGTAATAGGTCTTTATCTCCCTCACGAGCGTACCTTTCTGCCCCAGGGATGTGTCGTTAATTGACACGAGCGAGTAGGAGGGGAAATCCACAGGATAGAAACACCAGGGGATACCATTTCCCCCTGATGGGTGGGTGGCAGAAGAGGACGGAGAGGAAGCAGGGATAAAGCAACAGTTCCTTGCCTCACACATCTCTCTGGTCACCACCACCCCTCTCTCAGGGTAGCAATCGAACCTACGCGCCTCTGGGATTATACTACAAGCCCCAGGGCGGGAGGCAGCTGCAGTGTCGTTTCCTCCTGTTGGAGGGGGCTTTGCCGGGGCAGGTGGCAGAGGTCTATGTGGCTCTCGGTTTGATGGACCGTGAAGCCAAAACATGGTGCCCAGTAGCCAGCCTCCAAAGAGGAGAAGCAGCAGGCAGCCAATCACCAGGAGGCCTTTGGTGACGGAGCATGACGGCAACCGTGGGAGCAACGAGGCTTCCTCTGGCTCCTGCACCTTGAAACACAGCACGGAAATAAATAAGCAACGAAATCACAGTACACTAGATATTGTGCCAAAGCTAAGATTTTCTTCTATACACACACGTACTTGATGAGGTACATAATTAAAATCTGATTCAATCCAAACTCACAGGAACTTCTTCTTGGACGGGACGTGGCTCCTCTGACAACACTGCACTGGAAAACTTAACATCCTCAGGGTTCAGTCGCTTGTATGAAACCATCCTGGCCGCATGCGTCTGTCAAAGTGAGTGACTGCACAAATGGAAGAAAGAAAACAGACAGCGACACAGAGCTCAGGGCCATGACGATTTGCGTTTCCTGTCGTTGTGGGTTCATGGAAGTGAAAAAGTGAAGTGGCAGGATAATTGCTTATTTTAAGACTGTGACATAAGAAAGATGCAAAACAGCAGAAAAAATGTGCTTAATGCAACAAATACAGGGTCTGTAGAGGGGATTGTTTTTTATAAGTTAGGGATTCAGGAAGAACATTTCTTTATGGTCAACAACACCAATGATGGATTAAGTATTCAGATCCTTTACTTGAGTAAAAGCATGAATACAAAAGTTCAAAAAGTCCAGCTAACTTTACCTCCTGCAAACCTCAGCTCCTCAGCTCCTGCTAGTCTGAGCTCCTGCTAACCTCATCTCCTGCTAACCTCAGCTCCTGCTAACACCAGCTCCTGCAAACCTCAGCTCCTGCAAACCTCAGCTCCTGCTAGCCTCAGCTCCTGCTAACCTCAGCTCCTGCTAACCTCAGCTCCTGCTAGCCTCAGCTCCTGCTAACCTCAGCTCCTGCTAACCTCAGATCCTGCTAGCCTCAGATCCTGCTAGCCTCAGCTCCTGCTAACCTCATCTCCTGCTAACCTCAGCTCCTGCTAACATCAACTCCTGCTAGCCTCAGCTCCTGCTAACCTCAGCTCCTGCAAACCTCAGCTCCTGCTAGACTCAGCTCCTGCTAGACTCAGCTCCTGCTAACCTCATCTCCTGCTAACCTCAGCTCCTGCTAACCTCAGCTCCTGCTAACATCAGCTCCTGCAAACCTCAGCTCCTGCTAACTTCAGCTCCTGCTAACACCAGCTCCTGCTAACCTCA